GGGGGCTTGTATTTCTCAAGATAACAATTTCAAATTCGTTTTTTTTTTCGAATTTAGAGCCAGGGTTTGTAGAGTTCAGCCGGTTTCATTCCTTAATGTGTGGCTAACAAGAATCAATAAGGATGATTTTCTGTAATCCTTTTGTCATCCTGTACGTCAGTAGCTCACGTCTCAGTTAGTATTTTGAAGGTCTATCTCACACGTTTCGGGTATTTCGAGGTCTGGAAATTTTTGTCAAAAGTATTGTCTGTATTGATTATGGGTCCTGTAAACATCAGAAGCATACCTTTCTATCTGATTAGCTGGTAAGTTTCGATACGTCCAATAGGATCCTTCCAATTCCCAGAAACGTGACATGAATACGTTCAGTATGAATTGCTACAAAGCATCATTGCACACGAGATTTACGGATGAACACTTCTGGAAACTACGCCATGAAAGCAAAGGGTTAAATTGTTACCTGTTCTCTGGAATCGAACGAGGCAAAGTCTTCGAACGTATCGAGTATGAACTGTGAGATGTACGGCATTTGTCTTCGCATTATGTCCGACAGACGAGTGAGATTTGTGAGGGTAATAATCTGTAGATGAGGTAATTGAAATATGAATACCTTTTGGGCTTAGCTAATAAGGTAGGAGTCAAACAAAATTAAGAATCTTTTTGATTTTAAAGCTCCACCTTTCAAGAATCCTTATTATAGGCTGTATTGGTTTATGTGTTAATGCTCGCAGCACCGCCCACCGTGGGAACGCCCCTCCCATCGCGGATGAGTCTCCTACTTAGTTGTCGAGCGACTTCATTGCCCCAAGTCTTTACTCGTTTATTTTTTGGTTTCTTACTTCTCTTAAGAATGATTAGTTTAGTTTTTAGCACCCTCGACTCCAGTACGTGTTCCTTTCTGTGGGTGTTTGAAGTCAGTTCGATCGCTCATCCCAGTTCCACCAAAGTTGGGAATGAAGTGGTTTGGTGTGCATGGCTCTTTTACAGAAGTTCATAAAGGGATAGTGCTGTCACCATTTGCTTATACCTTCCCTGCGGCATTATATGTAGGCGCTCCTTCTCGTCCAGGCACCGTAAGCTCCATGGCCCAACGATCCGCATACATTTTCCTGGAAAATCCAGAAAATCACGTCCCAACACTCGAAATGAATTTGTTCTGATAAGTACCTATAATTGTGCAGTACTTTATATACAAGGTTGGATTTGGTGTATTTCGAATCGGGAGGGAAAACAGGATTCACAGTGGGGATCGGACGAAGTATGGTACTCTGAAATATGTTCTAAAAGGTGATCATTCCACATCAATCAGACCTGCCTCACATCTTTGTCAGATACCATTTGACATGATGGTGGCATCAAATCGGCAATTTCCGATGGTTCTTCCTTATCTACTTTGAAGTCCAACGAACTAATTGGTGGTCCTTCTCGAAGATTAGATCGTTTACAATGAACCACTAAAAAATTCTTTTTTAAATATATAGATTATTTTAAGGATAGAGGTGGAGTCTCTAGCACAAAGCTCGGCTCTTCCTGGCATTGACCCAGGATCGACGATTCAGCGATTCTGTTGGAGGTCGAATGCGAAGGAGGTTGATCAACGTCGAAAGATTTTACGCATCGACCCCTATCTTTCTTATTCATCTCATC